CTGGAGCTGAGATTCTTCTCCTCAAAGGGAGGACAGCAAGTGAAAAGATTGATGGAGGGGTCCTCTGTGCTTCTTTGCAAGTGGTGTGCCCCCTGGCAGGGCCTTCTGCTCACACATAAGTATACATACTCTCTGATTGCATGGGGAGTGGACCTCAGAGGCAGGATGGAGTCTCCTGTAGAGGAAATCAGCCCCAAACAAGACTCAAGGCTTTTGTTTGCAGTTATGGTGCAGAAGGTACAATGAGGGACAGAGGCTCAGCAACCTGAAGCTCTCAGAAGACAGGAGGTGGCGATGGTAAGAAGAAAACCTCACATTCTCAGTATTCACAGTGATTACATTGGGTCCAATGTTACGAAGGCGGTTGTCCTCAGCCATGGCATCATTTCCCTCCAAATAGAAATCAAATAGGGGAGGACTAGCAAGAACTCTCAGTGTGTGAAGATATGACAACCTGAAACCAATCCTACGTTTCACATAATATATGGAGAGAACAGACTCTTGCATGTTCAACTGTACCCTCCACATATGCCTTGTGGCATGCACCCACACATGCATACCTTGACACATGTTCCCACACACAGACCTGTGGCATACATCTTCATATGTGCACAAAGAGACATGAGCCTTCACAAATGCTCATATATATTTATATAAGTAAATAATTTCTTCGCATTGGAATTTAATTATTGTCATAAGCTCCAAACAGAGGCAGGGGATCTCTGTGATTTCAAGGCCAGTCTGGTCTACAGAGCAAGTTCCATGACAGCCAATGGAAAACAGAAAAACCAAGTCTCAAAAAAAAAAAGGAAAAACAAAACTAAATCCAAAACCAAAATCAAACTTCCAAACAAAAGGCCCTGCTTCTAGTGGACCTGATGACAGTATATCCAAAAGATGAATCCATGGACTAGAATCACAAAGGGAAAATATCAGAAAGTGAGGACTCTACAGAAGGAGTTCCGAAAGGCATTGCTGCTCACACCAAATACTCTATGTGAGGAGAGATGTGGGGCATTGAGAGGAGAGACAGGCAGACACCCAAGCAGAGAATTCCTAAGAGAATTAATGAAACAGCCAGATACAGTGAGTGAGTCAATGGGAAGACATGTTGCTCATGTTAGTATAGGAGAGTGGGCACACCCCTACTCTCACCCTAAATCCTGAGTGATTATCACACCTGTTAATATTGGTGTTTTTTCTCAATCTCCTTCTAGCCTACCTGCTATCCTTCTGGCACCTGCCCACTGTTGCCCAAGTGGCCACTGAATTAACACCACCCCTAGTGGCCGAAGGAGATAACGTCCTTGTCCTTGTCCACAATCTGCCAGAGAATCTTCTAGCCTTAGCCTGGTTCAAAGGACTAACAGACAAGAAAAAAGGAATTGCAATATATGGATTTCACAAGAATTTAAGTGCAACAGGGCCTGGGCACAGTGACAGAGAGACAATATATCGCAATGGATCTCTGCTGTTCGAAAAGCTCACCAAGAAGGACACAGGATTCTATACCTTGAGAACCTATAATAGACTCGGAAAAATCGTATCAACAACATCCATATACCTCCACGTGCATGGTAAGTGATTTTTTGTGAACTCTGTGAGCCTGGATGATGTTCATTTCACTGGACACATACAGGAGAGAGTCTGTGTCTACTCTCCCTATGTATTTTGCCCTGTGTTGGGGTTTGTGCACTTAGTGAAGGACATACATGGTATAGAATTTTGGCAATAGATCAGCATCCTTTATTTGACTTCACCTTGCACACAGATGGATGTGGGATGGGTAACTTAGCCAAGGATATTAGCCACTTCCTAGACTCTAGGGGTTGTTACCAGCAATGTTTCCTTGAGGAAGACTCAGAGGGAATCAACATTGTGCCTGGTTGTTGAAGACATTTGATCCTTACATGAGCACCAGAATGCTCTGTCTCCAGGTCTCTGTCCCAGACTCAACTCCAGGTGTCTATGACAAACATTTTATAAGTGTTGAATTTTAACTTCCCGATGGCAGGTAACAGTGCTCCCTAGTAGACAAAGTCTCGTGATGTGTAGAGTCAGACAGAGCACCTTGTTTGGGCTACATTCTTTGGTCATTTCTTCAGAGATTCAGAATGGGAACATAGTTCAACAGGTGCTCATGCCATTGAATAACTGTCCTGTTGTGCATATGAGATTTACATGATGGTCATGGTCCCCAAGGAGAGAGACTGAGGACATAGGTTGTCCTGACAAGAGCTTATCCACTGTATCCAGCTCAGGGAATTCTCTCCTGCAGGCAAATGGCTATGCTGATCTTGTAGCTTCCCAGCTATGGGCTGTAGTTCCCCCAGTGATCACCAGGGATGTCATCAGGACACACAATGAACTGGTGGAAAAGTGTTTGCCTGAACCAGGAATGTACCTAGTAGTCTAGTTCTACCCCTGTTTTTACAGACCAGGAAATCATGGTCACAGCATTCTGAGACCTATAGGCTGCTTAGTGTCTCTGCCACATTGCCAGGAGTTCATGTTCTGTTTCCCACTCTATGTGTTTCCTTTGGGAAATACATGCCATCCAAGGGGAATCAACTAGGTAGAGATCCAAAGCATCTCAGAAAGATGATGGAAAGCATATGTAGACCCAATACACTGTTCAGCAAACAGAGGAAGTAGGAACATGGTCTTGAAAATCAAGCATATGATGAAGGAGCTCACAGCCTTTTTCCAGAAATAAGGTAGCTTCCTCCAACACACCCAAGATGTGACATCCCGGGCTTTGACTTTGGTCAGAACCCAGTCTTATGGCAACTTGAGTGAGAATAGGGCTGTTCTTTTCCTCACACATAACTGTCTCCTTCCTGCTGGGAGAAAATTCTGTGTTTGCAGGGCATTCAAAACACAGGGTAGTTTGGTGCCCAGCTGAGTTTCTTTGTCACCCACTTGTGCAGATTTTCCCTTTGGCGCTGACTAACCTAGGCCAGGACACAGCAGAGTGCAGTCCCAGAGTCAACTGCTATTATCTCTTGTCACAGGCATGGTCATTATTCTTGACTCTCACTCTGCATTCTGCAGGACAGAAAGGTAAAGAAAATGAGAAAGGAACACGGGGCATCAATGAAGCTAGAGGGGCAGAGCAGTGTTTTGAACACAACCTCGGCCTATGGGGTTCTGGGAGACTCTTCTTGCTGAGAAGAGGCTAAACTCAGATGGGGGAACAAAGCAAAGCTTGGGAGCTGTGCTGGAGCTGATGTCCTCAGAGGGATGATAGATCAGTCCACTGGGACAGTGGAGGTCCTCTCTGTACTCCATGGAAAAGGGTATGCCACATCTCAGGGGCTTCTTCTCACAGATGAGGAGACCAGGAGTTGACAGTGTGTGAGAGGAGAGGACTGACATACTTTGGAGTCTCCTGAGTGACACAGGATAAACAAGTTGTCTCAGTGTTTCTAGGGGAGAAGACAGAGAGTGGGAGAGAGTCTCAACATTAGGATGCTCTCACTGATATTAAATGGTAAGGGTGAGGGAGACATTATTCTTACAGTAATTCAGTAAGCATGGCCACAATATTCTGTAGACTGATACTCTCAGCTTGAGAGCACACATAAAAAAATCAAGCCAGTGTGGATCACTGACACAGTCCAATGAATACAGGCATTTGCTTTGTTGTCTGACAAGCTGAGACCAGTAAACAGAAGTCCTCTGAACTCCACTAAAGCATTGTATACAGGATCCATCCACACTCACAAGACTAGACCTTACACTACACAAATACAAGTATAATATGTAAAGAAATATAAAAAATCAAAGAAAATGGAATTATCCAGTTCTGGTTGCATAAACATATGAGTTTCATAAGTAAATCTATGGGTATACTGGATTCTGGGACATCATTCATTCATTCATTCATTCATTCAGGCTCCACATGTTTCTGAAGTTTTTTTCTGGCATCATTTTTTTAAATACAAAACAACTTATGGTTCTTACAATGACACAGTTCAAGTAGACTTGAAGTAAAGTAAGGTAGAAGGTGAATTCAGATGTTGGCTACAACCTCAAGAGGAGCAGAACAACAACCAAAGTCAGATAGTGAAGACACGGGGTCTGTAGGAGAAGAGAGTGGGCTGGCATCACCCTAACACAATCCACTATAAATGAGAGCAGGGGTCTGATGGCAGTAGGTCATGGCAATATTGACAACTGAAGATAGAGACCATTACAATAGAAATGATGAGTATGGGGATACTGAGGACATGAAGGTTGTGCTGGCCTCCACCTAGTATGACAGGGAGAGAACCACCCACAAATCTAGGCTGAGAAATGGACATAGCTGGTCAGGACACAAGACCTCATCTTAGTCAAATACAGAAATCTGAAGTTAGATGGATCTTTCTCTTCTCTTCTAGCTTTCCTTTGGAACTGTGGGCGGTTCACCACCTCTGCCCAACCCACTATTGAATTAGAGCCACCCAGTGTTGCTGAAGGGGGAAGCGTTCTTCTGCGAATTCACAATCTCCCTGAGAATCTTCAAAGCTTTGTCTGGTTCAGAGGAATATCTGTGTTCTGGGAACATGAGATTGCCCGATACATAATAGACAGCAAGTCAAGAATTACGGGGCCTGCACACAGTGGCAGAGAGATGTTGAACAGTGATGGATCCCTGGTGCTTCACAATGTCACACGGAATGACACCGGACTGTATACCCTACGAATTCAGGGTACAGATAAGAAAAGTGAAGAAACCCATGTGCAACTCCGGGTGGACAGTAAGTGATTCTCTATGGTTGTTCAGTGCTGGGTGGGGCTTAGACACACAGGACTGTCATGCCTATCCTTCTTTTCCTCTGTAATGTGCCCCCATGTGGAGGTTTGTGTACTAAGTGCAGGAAAACCTGGTAGAGACAAATGGCCATAGATCAGACTTCATCTTCTCACTTCACCTGCATCAAGGAAGAACTTGATAGAAAATAACTCATTGTAAGATGTCAGAGTCGCCGGGTGTTGGTGGTGCACGCCTTTAATCCCAGCACTCGGGAGGCAGAGGCAGAGGATCTCTGGGAGTTCGAGACTAGCCTGGTCTACAAGAGCTAGTTCCAGGACAGCCTCCAAAGCCACAGAGACACCCGGTCTCGAAAAACAAAAACAAAAGATGTCAGAGTCAGCCCAGTCTCTTGGGGCTTTAGACCAGGTAGCCATTGAGCCCTGTCATCTTTCCAAGGTGAGGATAAAGGGAACAAAGAGAGGAATTTTCCAGTACTCCACTCTTCCTGTCAAAGCTGATAGGGAACAATGGTTTTAGGTCATCCATGTCAAAATGGGGCATGAATTGGTTCCATATTGAGGGTGTCATAAATAAAGTCCATGAACTGGCAGAGATATAATGAAGTCCTGCCTACTGACATGATCCTCAGGGCTTGGTCAGCTTTCACTCTTATGTGCTTGCCTAGGGGTGGAACTTCCTGCAGTGGCCTCAACCTTTTCACATCACCCCCTCATTTAAAAAATGTGCTATAGTCTTGCCCACAGGCCAATCCGAAGGTGGCTTTTTCAGCTGAGGCCTTGTCTTTCAAAATTACTCAAGTTGCATAAAACCAGCCAGCCTAGTGCCCAATCCTTTTAAAGACCTGAGCTTTCCCTGAAGATCAGACTCTCCCGGATCCCACCCAGTCCCAGTCCTGGGGGATGGCAGACAAAGAAGAAAGAGCATCAATAGTGTAACGTCAGGGTTTTGTTTGGAGTCACAAATGAATCTGAAAAAAACACCAATGAAATGAAAATTCCAGTCGTATTGAATTCATGGGAGATATTACCTCAATGCTCAGTGTGCGTGAGTGTGCAATGTCAGACTGAGAGCAGTGAGGGAACAGTCATGAAGACCATGAGGGGAGGGTCCCATATGACACCTTTACAGGGACAGATGTACTGGGGGAGGACATTTTGATGACCTTCATTAAGTGGCATAGACACACACACATCTGCAGCTCTAGGCTTCATGACAAAGCCATCTGCTCATGATAGAGGCCACTGTCTTTTCACTATGTGCAATGGTCCCCATCTGATAGCCTTTTTTTTCTCTTTTCCCTTCCAGGCCCCCTTTCTCCATGCTGTAACCCTCTTGCCTCATCACAAGTCATGATCCAACCAGTGCCTTTGTATGTTGCTCAAGGGGGAACTGTTCTTCTCCAAGTCCACAATCTTCCGGAAGATTTCCAAGCTTTTACTTGGTACAGGGCTGTGTATCGTGTTCCATATTATGAAATCGTCGAATACAGCAGAATCCTGAATACCCTCACCTGGGGTGATCAATATAGCGCAAGAGAGACTGTGTTTTTCAACGGATCCCTGCTGCTCAGGGACATCACTGAGCAAGATGCAGGAATGTACACACTAGAGATTTTGAAAAGTGATTTCAAAATGTAAAAAGTATATGTGCAATTCCATGTAAACAGTAAGTGACTCCCCTTGGCCTCCAGCTGCTGGGTGTGTCTTAGGCCACTTCATACACTGAGCTCTCTTCATGCCTGCTCTCTCCCCACTGCATTGTGTCCCCTCAATAGCCTTTGGGCTCTTACTGCAAAACACACATTGGGTAGACAACAAATAGGTCAGAGTCCCTCACCTGTCTTTACCTATAGAGAGCAGAAAATATGCTGGGTAACTCAGCAAAAGGATGCCAACCTCAGTGCAGACACTTGAGGCTCTTACCATGCACACAGCCTTAAGAGAGATTCTGGGGAGTCAGGCAGACACTGGACGAGGAAGCCCTGGGATCCTCACAGAGAGTACCACGAAGCCCTGACTCCAAGACTTTGCCCAGGGCCACATTCCAGGTTACACTGGGAAGAGTTTTGACACTGTATGCTCTATTTCCTGTTAGAGTTTTCAGGGAACAAGTCTTCACTGACTCTCCAAATCTCTTAGAGTGTAAAAAAAATCTCTTAGCTGTGTGCTGCCATGGCAGCTGCAATTAGGTAGGTTATTTCAGTATCTTCTTCTCCTGAGTCTCGGTTGGTAGATGTCCAAGCCTGTTGTTCTGATGGGCTTATGAGACTTCACAGGAAGAAGTTCATGGCACCAAGGGAAGAAAGGAAGGAGGCAGCTACTCTAGATTCTTGCTTCCCCTCATGGGTCCGTCCTGGGGAATTTTCTTCTATAAACCAATAGTGACAGAAGCTCTTCATGAGGGCGTCTACAAGGTCAGATCATTGCTTGTAACTAAGCTTAACTCATGGACATGGTCTGTGTGTCCTAGTAGAGGGAAACTGATTCACAGGGATTAGTGCCTGAATGAGGGTCACAAAGTTCTTGGTTGGCATATCTGAAGGACAAGGTATGTCTATAGTTGGAGCTCTAAACTGCCCCATGGAGACTTTATCAAGTATCAACTAGAGAAGGATTGGTTCGACTCTCTCTAGACTACCGTCATTTGATACTCTCCTCTGTTTCTCCACAGAGCATGTGGCTCAGCCCTTCGTGCGAATCACAAACAGCGTAGTCTCATCACACAGATGTGTGATCTTCACCTGTGTTTCACCTGACACAGATGTCTCCATCCGTTGGTTCTTCAATAACAAGAATCTGCAACTCTCAAGGAGGATGACTTTGTCCCCCACAAAGTGTGGACTCAGAATATGTCCCGTACGGATGGAGAATTTTGGAGAATATAAATGTGAGGTCTTCAACAGAGTCAGTGTGAAGACCAGTCTCCCAGTCACGTTTCACTGATGGATGAGTGGCCTCTCTTCTCATCCGTCTATATCATCAGGGTACTGATCGGAGAAAAGTCATATGGTGAAATTGATCAGTTATCCCTCAATTATAATCAGCATGGTGGCTCATATCTATAATCCCAGGATGCATATGTGTACAAGGGAAGGCCAAGATTTAAAGTGAGATTCCGTCTCCCAAAGAAAATAAAGACACAAAAATGGTAAACAGAAATGAAAAGGAGTTAAGAGCTTGGATTGGGGATCAAACATAGCCAATCATCAGAATTCATGGGAACTAACTCAGGAAGGGCAAAACTTTGAATGCCCTCTGACTGCTGTAAAAATGGAAGAGTTTTTGCATAGAGAAAAAACATCCTCTCATAGGGTCAAATACATGCAATGTTTAACTCATTCACTAATTAAACTAAGACCAATGTTGCCTGCATACCAGTCATCCATGTGAAGTGAGGAAGAGTGACAGGAGGGTCTGTCTGTGTTTCACCATGGAATTAGCTTGTGTCTAAGTCACTTTGGTCCACAGTTTGATGTGCAGATGTAAATTTCTTGACATAAGAGCAGATCATACTGTTTTCATCCTGAGGGAAGCACTCGCAGTGGGACCTTGCACATGGTTATTTTTTATTTTATATATTTTTAAATTTCTTATTAGTTCAAATTAGGAAGAAGCTTGCTTCACATGTCAATCCCTTCTCCCTCTCCCTCCCCTCACCCACACTGCTCCTATCCCACCCGACCTACC